GCAATCTAACATTTCAATTGTTCCAAAAACAAATTTTCCTTTTGCTCTATTATTGTTAAACATATTGTGAAGATCAAAATTATCAGGTCCATGTGCTTGTAGGTGATGCAACTTCTTATACTTTACAGATAATAATCATCCAATTTCTTATTGTAAAGTTTATCCTATAGAAATTGAAAATGTTCAGGGAATTGATCTAAGCAACTTAATTTAAGTAATTTTCTGAAACAGTAAATCACATATAAGAAGTACAGGAAATAACACTAAAAAATGAATAAAACTTGTAACACAGAATTAGTTCACTTGTCATTCTCATATCAGGGAGACAGCCTCATAGTAATAAACTAAAAGAAGATAACTGATTTGTTAACTTTTATAAGGATACTGCTTGTACAGCTGCCGGTTCCTTGAGAAGATAAACAAGGCAGAGAAGAACAATAAACTCATTAAACTTCATACCCATGTTCTCATCAATGTCACATGCCAAAAAGAGATCACCGATCTCCTGCTCATTAAAGGAGATTTCTAGCTTCTGGAAACAATGCTTCAGTTCTTCTTGATCTATCGCACCATTTGAATCTTCATCTATCCATAAGAAAATTAAAAATATCAGGAATCTCCAACATTGTCTCTGAGTTACTTGGAGTTCAATTCTTTGTACTTACCTTGTTACACATAAACAATACTCCATATTAGAAAGGAGTCCTCATGAATATAATAGTCAGGTTCAACCAAACCCGACTCATCTAAGATGACCTGTCTTGATCCATGTAACATGTCTAGTTTAACAACTCCTGGATCATTTTTACGTTGGTTTAGATCTAAGAAGTACGGACACAGGACACGAACACGACACGAAATGAACACCGCGACATGTTATTTTTAAAATAATTAGGATACGGATATGGCAAGGACACATGTATTTTTTAATATATGTATATATAATATTCAATTAACATGAGTTTTATAGTATTTATACTTCAAGTTTTTAAACTCGACAATGTGAACAAATGAATATCATCATATAGGTTGAAAAAATTAAAATCATCAAATAATATTTAACAAGATCTAGATATATTGATATATGTTTCCTTGAGACGATTTCCAGATTTCTTTTCTCGCACAGAATTTGGCTCTCACGTGATGGCCACACAAGCGCAGCACCACACATGAGTATCTGCCACGTGTGTCCATGTGTCTGACACATGTTGGACATGGACACGTCCACCAAAAGCATGTTTCTGCGCTTCTTAGGTTTAGATTTGGGTAAACATTGTGTTTCCTTGATAGTGAAGTTAGGGGGAATTGTGCGGATTTAGCAACTGCACCAATGAATAATAAAGAGGCACACAAAGTAGCAAATAAAGAACTGACACCATTATTATGGATCAAGTTATTAGTTATTTCGAACAAATCCCGAAATTCGAAACTACCTGTTATCCAATAAAAACCTAAAATTCAACGCACGCTAAAAATATAAGACAAGTCACGTCCCATCCCGATGAGTCAACCTGACCCTTTTCGACCCAACTTGATCTTGTCCATATAAAGAAAGCTTGACTAACCTGCTGGCAGGCCATGTCCAGTTGGTGTCAGACCTATAAAACTGCACTATCCTATCCTAACATGATAACATACTAATACATGATGGCATTAATATAAATGCGGAGACAAAAGATTCAAAAAATCAATTAAGCATGAATATGTGAGTCAAATACATATGACTATCCATGAAAATCAATAATATTGACTGTACATGGACATTCATCTCCAATGGACCTTTTGAAACATTTTACTTTTTGATGTTGTGTATTATACCTGCAGTCATTCTTTAATAAAATTTCTTTCTTTCTTCTGTAAAGAAGTCATGTCAGTCGATTCCAAGTTCCACTAAATTCTCCAAAATTCTAAGAAACACTATATACAATATGGGCAGCCATAAGTTATCTGCTGATTATAATTATTATGTCAAAAAGTGAACTGTTTCCTTTTTAATGCTTCTAGTGTCAATTACTAGCATCTAAACTTTTATTAATCACGGTTTTAAAGATAGATCAATACCAAGAACTCAAAAGGTTCAAGGTTATCTATGGTAAACACTATGTTTGCTTGTTTGATTGTGGTGAACATATAACTCACCAAACTGCTCAAAAATGGACTTGCACTTTCGTAAGCTCTCATCAATTTTTGGAAATTTCATAATAATGCTGTTGAATGACTTCACAGAAGTTCCTTCAGATGCCCTTCGCTGCATAGCCTCAACCATCTTTGCCTCAAGTTTTGATTCTGGAGAACTTCGCCTTATCGAGTTGCTCCTCCCAACTACACCACCCATTTTAGAGCAATACGGGATGAGAGCCAACTATTTACCTGGAAAATGTGAAGAAAGAAATAACCATGAGATATGAATCGTTGGAGTTTCACCAGTCTATCATAATGCAGAATAATATCTCACATGGAGCAGATCATGAACCATGAAATTCTAAAACTTTGGCTCAAAAACACAAGAATCAGAGATCCAAGATAACGAACAGAAAGAACATGTTTGCTAACAGCTGAGGCAGATAATGTTTTAAGATACAATACATCAAAATATGAAAAAAGGAATATGATGTTGAGAAAAAAAAATTCATTTATTTCCTCGATAATTCATGGTAAATCGCTTTCGGAAGGCAAGTCTGGACAAAACGACACACAACTGGCATCAAAAAGAGTAAAAAGATCACAGCTTTCATACCAAAGCTTCAAGTCCACGAAGACCGATAAGCGTAGAATTCAGAAAACGTTAGCTAATTGAAATCCGGTGAAGGCTTAGCTGACCCATCCCAATCTCCACTAATAAATCTACACAAAACCAAAGCGAATCGGGGAAAGACACCATGAGAGGCATCAAGAACATGCAAAAATCGACGGAAATAGCAAAAAAACAGCGAAGGATTAGACGAATCGAAACCTATAAGAAGCAAAGGCAGACAAAAGGCGGGGACTTGCTAGTTCCTCCCCGGATCCCTCAGCGCTTCTTCAAAGAATGCCAACGAATGAAGCCGATAGGAGGACGCAACGCGAGGTTATTGGATCGGAGCAGAGGGTTTCGTTTGGGCTCTCCGATTCGACCGAGGAGGAGGAGCTTTGACGATTGATTCGCGGAGGATAGGATGGGAGAAGTGGACGGAATCGTCTGGTTGGGTGGCACAAGGGGCTAAAAGGTGGGGAAGGAGATTGGGAGGACGGGGGTTGGGTTAAACCAAGACATCTGAGCGTGCTAGCTTATATTGGATTTTTCCTGCCATTCACCTCTCCTGTTATTAAACACGGCGAGTGGCCCCCTGCGGCGCCCACATTGGTCCCTCCGATATAGCCGACAGGTATCCAAGACGGGGGTGTTCTTATCGGTAGGAAATGTATTAAGTCGGGGAAGATGAGTACACCTACTTGTTCATAACGTACCTCCATTCCCGACTGTCTTATTATTGGACAAAGGGAGGGAGCCACTCGTCGCTCTGGTGTGGTCCTCACCGATATGAGCGATAGGATAGGTAGACAAGGGGCGTCGTGGAAGGGGCGTTAGTTAAGCTAGAAAAATCCCATATGATTCAACGCATACCTATTGACCGCTAACCTCGCTCACCAACTTGTCCTGTTATTTAACACTGCGGGGGACCCTTTCGTGGCCCCCACATAGTATTCTCCATCTAACCTAACCTAACCTAACCTAACCCAACCCGTATCTTTTTTAAAATTGGCGCCATTTCTAACCTCGTTTTCTTACGACTCTCTATTCCGATCTGGATGTACAACAAAATCTCACACACTCTCCTGTGATCATTCAACACAGCATCAAGTAACGTTGCCAATTCTTACGACCCAGCAGCACTGGAAACAGTTTATGACACACGGCTCGCTAACGAAGCCCTCCCTACCAATTAAAAAGCCCTACTTCCCAACCCCTGCTCTCGTACATCCCTCCGCCCGATTCGGTTCGATTCCAACGCCGTCCCAGCACCAACCCGAGCACCTTATTACATGATTCGGTGGGAATCTCGTGATTCTGACCGACGTACGTCACCGCGACGAAGAGAAAGTAAAAGGGTAGAAAACGAACGAATCGTCCCCAAACCCCATCCTCCCAACTCGTTTCCCCCCTCCGCCCCGCGTGCCGGCCGTTTCCAGATCCCGTCGTTTCTAATCTTCCTCCCAACCCTAATCCTTCTCCGCTCCACGGCCGAGATGGCGACGGCGGCCTTCCGGTCCACCTCTGGGCGCTCCTCCATCGGCAGTCGGGGTGGAGGCGGCGCTGCAAGGGACGCCGGCTCCTCCACCCGCGGCGGCCAACCCCACCGCCGATCGAGGAGCCTCAGCCGCCATTCCAGCCGGTTTCCCCCACCTCCGCCGGAGCCTGACGACTTCCCGACGCCCCGTGGCAGGTTCGTCAACAAGTTGCGCGGGGCCGGGTTCCCGGAGATCAGCCTCGATGACATCGCCGATGAGTTCTTCCGGGCGAGGGCCGAGTCGGATGAGGACAGCGAGCCGTCTGCCGCCAGGTCCAGGCCCTTGAGTTCCGTCTCGAGCTATCGGATGGAGACGGAGTCGTCTCGCCGCCGCGGGAGGTCCGTGTCGAGGCCTCCCGATCGCCACGCTGCACCGACCAAGGGCGTCTCGGATAGCGTATTAAGGCGGCGGCGATCTGTCTCCGTTGATCGGCATCGGTGTAGCAACTCGGAGGTACCCGCTCTCCCTGTGTTTTAGTCTAGGTTGACTAAAAGTTGCTATTTTTAGCGTCCAATGGCCGATGTGGCATGAACGATCTTTCGTTCGATTTTTGATGCTCTTCCGATCGGACTACTCCAAAACTGAAAAGAAACTGCATTTACACCAAAAATCTGAGTAGTTAGAGAAGTGTCATGTATAGAATGATCATGAAAGGAGGAAATGCTAAAGGCCCGCTTTACTGCATTCAGCAACTGATGCAGTAAACACAGTCAAATATACACTATGATGATTTTGCCGTCATGTTATGTACATAATAGTTGAGTACCTAACATGCCAGCGAAGGCAGATAGAGTGAGTCATAGAGATTTGGATGCAGTTACTCTGGAATGTGTCCTGGCACACCTGCTTGTGTTTAATAGATAATGGTCCTCTAACATGCTGGATCAGGGTCCCGACATTCTGGATTTGTACATGTGAAGCTTGCAAAAGTACACAACCTTGTTAAAAATAATTTATAATGTATCTCACATAACTGATTGAAGTCAAAGACATTCTGGTTGTTACATCATTTAATGTTTTTTCTCTTTTTGCTACTTTCATGATGCTTTATTAACATCAATAATACTAAGCTTTCTTTAACATGGCTTTCTTTGGTAAGCATTGATCTTGTTGCTAAGCTAGTTTTGCTACTCTTGTGATGACTTACATAACATCAACATGGTGAAGTTTTCCATATCATGGTTTTTTGGGTAAGCATTTGTCAGAACCAACCAGCATGGGATTAATTTCTGTAGCAAGTTTTCAATCTGGGAAAAGAAAAGATATGGTTGGGACATCTATCCTATTAGTGCGCGTGCTCTGACTCGTTCTATATTTGAACCAAGCGATTTAGTGTCAAAGATTCAACATGCACCCTTGAAGGTATTTTTCCATCTGAATAAAAGAAGAATGGTAGTCTTTAGCTTGTACCATAACATGGAACTTTAGAAGCTGGCAGGTTACCTTATCTGGTAGGTTGTTATGCCAAAAAGAACCTGATATTAGTTTTTTTATAATCGACTACAGAATGATGTGGATTCTCACAGTGCCAGCACGCAAGTTAAATCAAGGATCTATGGCAATGGTAAACTGCAGGAGCCTTCATCACATAGGTCAGTGAAGAATGGTGACTTTTTGAAAAGGTCTGGGAGCCAAAAGGATTTCTTCCACTCTCATGATAGCTATTCGGTAATTTGTCTGATATTTTTAATGACCATGAATTGATATTTCTTTCTTTCGGTGGAGACAGTATGATGCTAGATATAAGTAATATCAGAAAAGAGGTGATACGAGAAGATGAAAGAGATACTTAACTTGAGAATTCTTGTATTCATGTCATCTGTGCTCTTTGCTGATCATCAGACCATAGGGTTTAGGCTTGTCTTAGTGAATCTACTTTCAACAACTAATCAATCTTCAAAATGTTTTTATTTTATTGTTTGGTTTTTTCTATAGAGCCATTCTTCTTCATTAACCGATGATGAAGCTCGGGATTTTTGTTCAAGGAGGTGTGGGGTTGAGAAGACAAATCAGGCAGTTTATGCCCCAGAAAAGGTTGACCTTATAGACCATGGCTATTATCTGAAACAATATGAATGCTAATATCTTATCATACTTATTGTTATGCGACTCAAATAAACTGTAACCTTTGTGGTTTCATTTGCAATTCACAGGGAGGAAATCCCATAGGCGATGAGGAGGATTTTGGATTATATGAAGTCATGCGCAAAGAAGTAAGACACGCAGTCAAAGAAATCAGGACAGAACTCGAAAAGGTGTGTGCCTTTATTCAGCTCATTTGTCAATTTTGAACTCATGATTTATATTTGATTATTCAAATTTATTTTTTTCTTTTTTTCTTTTGATCATATTTATCTTGTCCTTATCATCTTCCTTGCATCATCATGGAACCGAGCAATTTCAGACAACTTGCCAACAATATTGTTATCTCATACTTGATACAGGTCATGGTGAAAAATGAACCCTCAACCATTGTCAGTGGTGATGGCGTTCAACCAAAGAGTTCAGAAGTTCTGCAAGCTATTGCTGAGATCAGAAGAAACTACACAACCGAACTGGAACAGGCATGTTATGACTATATTTTTAAAATATTGTGATTGTACAGCTTTTTTCAATGGTCTATCTAAACTGTCATGGTGGTATGTTTTCCAATTTTCTCTGTCGTGCTATGAACTATGCAGTGGTTCTGAAAGGTTCATTGAGACTCATTCTCTAAATTGTTAGACGAATAGGATTGCTTTATGTCTCTAAGAGCTTTTGAGACAAATAATATCAACAAATCAGAATATAAGCTGCTGTGCTGATTCCCCCTAGGGTTTCATGGTCTTGCCTCGGTTTAGTTTTAATAAATTTGGTTCAATGATTAAGATAAATGTATACTCATCTTCTGTGTTCTCTCTCTCGTGTATACTTTAAGATATTTGGAACTTGTAACACACCACAAATCTCTTGATCCCATGGGTTGAAACTTGTGTTCCTGCACCAAAGAGTCTATGGCTTGGTGGGGTCCTTTTTTTTCTGTTAATTTGAGATGCCTATTTTATTAATTGCAGTTATGGTTTTGGTAATGAAATGTGGAAGGATCCTCATCAAGTTTGTTTTAAATGTGTGATTCCTGATTTCTATTAGTTCTACCTTCGTTGACACTAGTATGCACTTCAGTCAGAGAAGCGCAAGCAGGACTTGTTGGCTGAGTTAGCATTAGAGGAGGAACGCGGCCAGGAACTTAGCAAAATTGTCAAAGAGTTGCTGCCTTCTCCAAAAAATTCTGCTGTTCCAGAAAGGCAATCACGGTCTAGAAGAGTAAGAATCCTGTTCTATAGAATGTCTGAGTACATGATAATTTCTATGGCATTACAACTAATGGATATGTGTGTTCCGCAGAGGAACCATGATAGAACAAGAATGTCTAAACATTTGACAGAAGAGGCAGAGAAGTACTTTGAAGATTTCCTTTTCAATGTTGAAGATACAGATATATCTTCTTTTGATGGAGAAAGAAGTGATACTAGCTCAAATATAAGAGATCCCGGATTACATAATTCTGCAGCAGAAACTCATGAAAGTGTGCCCGGAGCTGCTGCTGGACCTGTTGATAAAGATGGTGTTCTGCTTCCTTGGTTGAAATGGGAAACTAGTTCTGGTCCTTCACCATGCAAGAGTAAGGCAGGATTCCCTGTGTCCTCAGGAAATAACTTATCAGCTGCAGCGCTGCCAAAACAGGTTACCATTTGTGGTCATGGTTTTTCTCTCTTTTCATATAGGAGCTACTTAAAAATGATACAGCCTGTAGCATTGTTTGGTCAATCATTCATTCATTCATTCATTTTGGATCTGAACTGGACTCTGAATGTCGCGGATATGTTTCTTTACTTACATGAGCCACGAACAACATGATGATCTGAATTTGAGATTAATGGTATTTTTCATCAGAAGTGTACACCGGTCTGCTTGGTTTATTGATTTTTTACTTTGTAAATAATTACTGATGAAACTGAAAAACACATCTTCAGATAAAAACTTCTTATTCTCTTTTAGTTCATCCAATCATTTTTAGATTCATCAAACCAATTATATCATGTTTTCTTTTACTATTGTCAGTCTTTACTTTGGTTTTCTGTTCCATATATACCCCTTGATCAACATTCTTGGGTAGCATATTTGACTAATAAGTCAACATAAAACTAAATCTGTTGGCTATTAGTAATTTGAGCTGTCAGTTAACAAATATTTGATTTGATCTTTTTCAGGAAGCAAGTACCGATTTCAATAGCTGTAATCAAATTGCAAGCAGTTATGGGAGTTGGAGCCCTGAAGGCACTGAAAGCTCATCCATAGTTTCTAGGGACAGAAGTATAAGCAAGTTTGGAGTAGGAAACCACGTAAGCATGTCTTCTGATGGCAGAACTACTCGGTCTTCGTTTTATATGGATGAGTACGTGAACTTAAAGCAATACGAAGATCTTCTTTTCGAAAGGCTGGAACAGAGGCAAAGAATAGAGTCAGGTAGCATGATCCTGTGTGGGAGATTGTTGACGTAGACTTTGCTATCCTACTCTTAAAGAGAGGGAGGGTGGTCCTATTCCTCTACCGGATTGAGTTGTGCGTGTGACATTTGAATTATAGCTAAGCTTCTCTTAGCTGTGGAGTATAGGTTGTTACCGTATCTCTTGCACTTTCTTTTGCTGAACGTGATACAAATAATCAAGGCTTTTTACCACGCTGATCTGCTGGTGTAAACATGATTCGTGCATGGCATGGCTTACTGCAGAGACTCGTTACTGCAGTGCACTTGTGATGCTTGATGTATGGCTTGAACGATTAATGTAGCTTCATACATTATCCATTTCCGGCTTTTGGAATTGTTGGTCGCTCAATTCAAAACATTTATCAGCCCCTTCTCTATTTAAAAACACTTTATGATTAATTGATTTTTATTAGGGGTGTTCGGTTAAAGGTATTATGAATTGAAATCATTTTGGACTTATATTTAATCGAATCGATTCAAAATCGATTAATGTTAATTGATTAATTGGTTTCTAAGTTTAAATAATTTAAAATATATATATATTTTTTAAATGAATCGATTTGGTTGGATGAGTCAGTTTTATTTAATTAAACCAAATTAAAATTTTGATCCAATTGGATTGATATTCTCAAAAAATTTATATTATAGATATCATTCTAAATATTCTAAAAATTTATTCGATACAAAAGATAAAAGGAATCAATAATAATAACATAAAAGATGAAATTATCATTAGATTGAGAGCACAACCGCTGATGGTCAGTAGATGACTCCATTATAATCTATTATCAACAATTATCATTTATGATGGTGCCTCCCCCTTCATGGACCAGCCAGCTCGCTCGCCCCTCTGCGCTAGTGGTTTTCTTTTCTTTTTTTTATATTAAAAGACATCCTAGAGGGACAATAATAGAGCGAGACCGAGAAAGCGACGGAGGACGGAGGACGAAGGAGTCGTCACGGAGTCGGAAAAAAGATGGATGAACTCATCGATTTGGTATGGGTAGGGATTTTAGAATTTTTGGAGCTTTGTGCTGGGTTGGGTTAGTATTTTTTTTTTTAAAATTAAAATCAGTTCGATTTGGTCTGAACAAACAATTTGAAAAAATAATAATCTCCCAAATTAAAATCATTTATGACATTCAAAACAAAATTATTAATGAATTGATTTGGATTTAATCAGTTCATGTTCGGTTTGATTTTTTTGATTCAATTTGAACATCTATAATTTTTAATAGAGAGATGTTCAAATTAAACTGAAAAATTGAATCAAAACCAAAATCAACTCTATTCCATTTGATCATTAACGGTTCGTTCCCCTATTCTTGTTTGCTGCTTTTCCCTCTATTTGATTTGCATCATACATTAATGTTCTACTCATAGGGTAAAGCCTAAATTAACCTATACGTAAGAGGGTTGTTAAGAAGTCCTATAAATATATTGGGTTCTTTCCTCATAACTTATGGATTTGATAGAATTACCAATGGATGCCATTGTTATTCCTAATCGTTAGTATCGTAGGAGTGTATCCGACTCACAAACAAAAGGTCAAACAGTTTATAGCATCATCCGATAGATTTTTGTGGGGAGTAAGATCTCATCATAAAATCTTTTTATCACTTGTCATTAAAAATGAATAAGTTTATCTTGATTTATTCTCATATCAAAACAAAAGTGGGTTAAGACTTAATACTTACAAGAGATCGACTGATGAGTGTACGTACGTACTACCATTAGTATAGGCTTAAGTATTTTGAATTTAAGATTCGAGCTCAATGAAGTTAAAGGGTCAATAAAAAAACTTGAGTTGAAAAAGATATCCATCGATGATGCTAGAGGATGATGATACTTCATGGTGTGAAATCATTGATGAGTTATGCCTCAAGGTTGGACTCTCAACTATGTAAGGTCTTCATCAGAATGTGAAGAAGTAGTCTAAAGACTTGCATGCACTAAATTATAAAAAGTTTGGAATTAAGGGTTATTCAAAATAAGTAAAAATTTAAACTAATTTATAAGAGGTCAATAAATATATTATGGTTAAATTGATTTTAAATATTTGAACATGACAATCCCATCAATTAAGTAGGTAGTTCTTTTTTTTTTTTTATGCTTTTGACACATGACTCATACTTGTTTATTCTCATATTCCATAGTTTCACATGCGGGCGGATGAATCTATATCTCCAAGGATCATTTGTTTACAAATTCCGTGTACAGATTATAAGAGTGTTCATGGTTTCACAGAATGTAACGACATAAAATTTTAACTAGTATAATTCTAATTTATAGTAATTTGAATTGAATTAATTTGATTTGATAAAGATGATATATATTTTTTTTTATCTAAACTCATCTTCTAATTTCACTTATGTTTTTCAATATTTAGTATAATACTATTTATTTTTATATTTAAATTTTTATCATTCCATTTATGTGATTTTCTACATACATAATGTTTAAAACTCAAGTTTCTTTATATTAATCATTATCAAATATATTTAAGCTTTGAGATTCACTTAAGATCGATTAAAATTTTATCATCATTTTTAATCACTATATGCACATCTATTATCATAACTTAACCTCATATTCAAGTCTGTTAGTACACTTTGGGCTTGTTACGTTATGTTTAACACACATATTAATACGCTCAACCAATATTTCATATAATACTAAAAATAATATTTTTGAAAATCATGTACTTTAATCTTAAATGTTAAAAATATGAACATGTCATTTATTATATTTATGAAACATAGATCTTACAAATCATATCACTAAGTGAGAGTGACATAAACATATTATTTGTACTTCTATTGACATTACGATTATAGTTCAATATGCATAAAACTCAAGCACTACAATCCTCCTATTCTAATAAAAATTTCATCCTTGAAATTTTTTACCCGAATAGTTTTCGATATTTTTCTCGTATTTCTTCTTTCCTTTCCCAAGTTGCTTCTTCCATTGTATAATTTCTCCATAGCACTTTGACTAAATCGATCTTCTTATTACAAAGTTATTTTTCTTTTCTATCAAGAATTCATATTATTGGCATAACATTTCTGTCTACTTTGTGCTACTTTCATTTTTTAGCGAATATTTACTATTGCTTCTAGTATTTCTCTCACCAAATCTAGCCTCAAATACTTTCTTTCACCCATCTCATCCCAATGAACTAGTAATTTGCACCTTCAACTGTATAGTACTTTAAATGGTATCATCCCAATGATTGCTTGGTAACTATTATTGTAGACAAACTCTATCAAAGGTAAATATTTGCTCTATGATCTCTTAAAGTTCATGACAAGCTCTTAGCATATCCTTTAATATATGAATGATTTTCTTTATTGATCGACTGTTTGAGGATGAAAAATAGTGCTAAAAGCTAACTTTGTCCCTAGTGCTTTTTGTACACTTCTCCAATATCTTGATATGAATCTAGAGCCTTTATCTAACATAATGGATATTGACATATCATGGAGTCTAATTACCTCTTAGATATATCATTAAACATATTGATCTATAGAATAATTAACATGAATAGGTCATTAAGTGGGCTGGTTGTCTTAGTCAATCTATTTACAATGACCTAAAATTCATCATGTCTTTTGTTAGTATTAGGCAAACCCATGACAAAATCCATGTTGATCTCATTCCATTTTCATTAGGGTATTTATAATGATTTTAAGGTACCTGACCTTTGATGTTGTATTTGGCCTATGATGTTGTATTTGGATTTATTAACATGTGAGATACTTCTTAACAAATTGGATCATATCTCTCTTTTTTCCTAGCTACTAGTCATGCTTTTTAAATTTTTATATATCTTGGTTGTTCTAAGATGTATTGAGTATAAAAATGAGTATGCTTTTATTAATTTTTTTTATTTTATGTCAGGCTCCTTTGGTATACATTATCTACTTCGAACTATGATGATCCCTTCATTAATATAAAAATCTTTTTTTTCTTTGCCTTAATCTCATACTTCAATCGATTCAAATAAAGGTCCTTGACATATAAATTTTTATTTTTATTTTCCTAAAAGGGTTGGCTCCGGTGATAGTACTATTAATCTCTTAATTAATTTTCTAAGAATAATCTCATATTTAATTTTTATATTTTTATATAAAAAGGTCTTTGGACTATTAATAAACTAGCTAAATTGACAGACTTTATACTCAATGCATCAATAATTACATTCATTTTCTCGGGATAATAATTGATCACACATTAGTTTTCTTTATAAATAGGACTGATGCTCCCCATGGTGAAAAGCTAAGATGAATAAACCCTTTATCGTGGAACTCTTGTAATTGTATCTTTAATTCCTTCAGTTCTATTGGAACCATTCTATTAGGTGCTTTGGAAATAAGTGCATTGTCGTACATTATGTTTTTGACAAATTTAATCTCCTTATTTAGTGGCAATCTAGGGAGGCCCTCTAGAACACCTAAAGGAAACCTCTCGTTCCACTATAGTATCAATCATATTTGTCAAATATCTTATGCATCCACTATTTAAGAGTATCTTTGCTTTTATTATTAAAATAATAGAGATTAATGTCTTTTCTTTAGAACTAGTCAAATACAAACTTTGTAATACTATCATATTCTTATTATGATATTTATACAACTAGTCCATGCCCAATATAACATCAAAATATTATATGTTCAATATTATCATATATACAATCAATTCTTTATCAACAATGTGAAATGGATAAGATCCTAATCCCTAACCTAAATACATTATATCCCTTGATGGAATAATTATGTAATAATTATGTAATATATCACATTTAGTACTTTAGATGGTTTATCTAGTTTTTCTATACAATCTAATGATGCAAAAGAATATGTAGTGTCGGAATCAATTAATGCATTGCAAGAAAACGTTATAAATAAATCTTACCTGAGATTATTGATAAGATTGCCTTTGCTTCTATCTTGGTCATCACAAAGACTTTGCCTGGTTCTCTTTTCTCTTCTGATAAGATTATTATACAGTTTTTTGCTAAATGTATTGGCTTTCCATATAAAAAACACAATCCTTTACCTTTGAGGCATTACTTCATATAATGCTTCATATATTCAGGGTAAGTGAGTCTTTACGCTTGAGCTGGTTGAGAAAAATAAGAGGTCTGACCCATTTTTCCTTATGTAGGGTATTTGGATTGTCCCTATTGCTACCCT